TGCTGGAAATTACAATTAGATGAACAGAAATATATAACTAGATAAAACCAAAAAAAAAAAAAATCAAACCGAAACCTACATAATAAATTACAATTAGATGAACAAAAATATATAACAAGATAAAACAAGAAAAAAAATCAAGCCGAAACTTATGTGGTATCACAGTTTCTTTAAAACAGATTCGTTGCCTCATTTAAAACAGATTTGCCGCCTCACCGTCGGTGTTGGAGGTATGTCGGCGTTTGTCTCTCAAGATACGATTGTTTAGACTCGCTAATGTAAAAGCACCTTCTGTTACCTCCAGCGAACTGATAATGACAGTACTCTCTCACACATGAAAAATAGTATTAGAGGAGCAAACTGACTATAATATGAGAGCAAAAAATTTTGTATGAACTACCAAAGAAGTTGGACTTTATTTATACACCATGGGGAAGATAGGAGGAGCCTTTCTGCAACCAATGTAGAATTCAATTTCTGGAAAACTGGTGGGACTTAAGTATGTGAGTTACACAAAACTTATAGCATCCACCTAACAGACTTGACTCAAAAAGATTAAGTTGATGGGCCACCAATCCAGTTCAACCCAAACCTAACTCATTATAGCAAGCCCCAAGCCCCCCGTACTCGGGTGGGCAACGCGCACATGTGGCAATTTTTACAAAACCAACTTGGATCATAGTTTTGGCCCAAGTCCATTCTTGAAGGATCCATAACTCCCTTCATTTGGAAAATTTGGATGCCCCAAAAGGGCTCATGCCCTGATCAAAATTTTGAGGTTTAAATACCCATCAACGTTTTTCTCTACAATCAATGTGGGATTGGTAGTTATACATAATTCTCAATACCTCATTCATGAGACCAACTTTACGAGACAATTTCTCATTCAATTCTTAATGGTATTTGGTCATTCTTTTTGGAATAATGCTATATGTACTAATTAATGTACTAACTGGTATACTAATAGATAATGTGACATAATTTTAGAGGTTTTAGGTATTTGTAATTTGTATGATAGGTGGAGTCAGTAATAATAGCATGACACTAGTTGGTACACTAATGTGTATATTAATTGGTACATGTGCCATTCTTTTTGTGGTGTAAAAATCTTGTTACAAAGAATCTAAACTCATTTGATCCCACCTCAACCGGTAGTTGTGATCTACTTTAATTTCACATTAAAGTTACCATAAAATCATTTTTCCTATATATATATATATATATTTGGTCTTTAATATACACATACTGAAAATCTCACATCGACATCGTTGGATTAAAATCTGTCTTGGGTGAGCTAAGTTGACACATATGGCATTGTCAAACTTCATGCCAAATTTGTTATAAGAAAAATTTACAACCGTGATCTTGTAACAATAGCAACCATTAGATCTTGTGATCATGATTTAGTTTTGTCGATGAAGCAAAAATCAGTGTCAAATTTGGCATAAAATTTGACTTTGATATTTTTTGACAATACAGTTGACTCAACGATGGAGAATGATTTTTTAAGTCAACCCCCTCCCTCAATTTTTTTTTCCTATAAAAAAACGTAATTTTGAAATGATTGGAGTTAAAATGCAACTTCATTTGGACCCAAGACAGTTGCTTCAAAAAACTTCCCTGTCAAAAGAAGGGGAAGACTGTGTTGTGGGTGGTTTGGGCACTCATCTCTGTCTTCACCATTTGGGTTGTTTTCTTTGAGGTAGGGATTTCCTACTCCATTTTATAGGTTTTGTTCTAAGTTTTGGTATTTTGATATGTTGGGTATACTTTGGTAAATTTTGGGAAAAACCCTAGTTGTATCATTGAATTAATTTGTATAAGTAATTCATGGAATTGGGAAAAGATGGTTAAATTCATGGAATTGGGGAACTCATTGATTAAATGGTGTAATTGGATAATTTGAATCATTTGTCTATTGAATTGTTGACATAGTTATTTTCAGTTTAGAAATAACTGTTTTGGGCTATCGGTGAAGGATAGTCGTGATTGTTGTAGACATTGCATGTGGATTAGGAATAACTGAAACTAATCACATTGGTTAAGTCATTAATTTTGACTATGGCATTGATACAGAAAATACGTATATTGATTGAGCATTGCATTTGCATACATTGTTTTGTGTGTGGGAGGAGATAGGGGATGTACTCCACGATTTAGGGGAAGATAGGGGATGAACCTCTAAACCGGATTTTGTTTGGGAGGAGATAGGGGATGGACTCCATTAGCATCACTTTTATGTGTGCTCATTTATATAAAAGTGTTTTATTGATACAGCACTAAAATGTGTATCAATCTGGAAGTATGGAGTGTTTTGATTTGAGCTTGAGTCTCATTTGTTTGTTGATATTGGAAGGATGTGAATCTGATATATGTGATTCACTGTTGTAAGTTTGGCCAGGTTCTGAGCCATGTTGATAAAATTGGAAAGTAAAACGTCTCTTAGACAATAGTGTCATGAGACTGTAAAATGAAGTAATTGATTATCTTGGTTAACCATCTGTTGAATGCTATTGCTTTATTAATTGCTTATATGTGGTTTAGTATATTTCTACTGGACTGTGGCTCACCCTTTATGGGAACATCATTTTCAGGTTCAGGTGATAAACTACCTCCAAGGACTTAGCTTGGGAGGGTTTGGCTTCTGGATTGAAGAAGACTACCTTTAGTTAATTGTCTTTGTTTATTAGTACATATAAACATTCAAGCCTAGGGCTTTTCTTGTATTGAGTTAGAACTCATATTTTTGTATCCAAGTGTTGGCTTGGAAAGATGTAAGCCTATGGGGCATTTTGTTTGATGTTACATGTAATGCTTTATTTAGTAATACTCTGATGAATGAATTAATAAATTGTCTTCTTTAAATAATGCATGTCAATGATATATAATGGGTAAATTTTGAAGGCGTTAGACAGGCTGAGCTGCAGGTGTTTATACCGTCCTTGCAGTCGCCAGTGAGATCATTGAAAGTCTCAATCTGCTTTTTTCCCCTCAATAAGACTTTTGTATCAGCAGAAATCCCCATGTAACCATCAAATTCAACTGGACACCCAACGTTAAGTTTTGTAGTTTCTGTGTGCCATTCACTATTCCCATCCCATAAATCTTTATATTCATCAACAAAATGAGTCGAATACTTGTCTTTCAAAGGGTCAAAGAAGGATGTGTCTGGTTCATTTGTGGAAATGTATTAGTTCCTTCCATCCACAATTTTATCCTGCAAGGTCGAGAGAAGAGATTCGGGCGAGGTATCTACCTCAAGATTAGGCCAAAGCTCCTTGTTCCTCGCCTTGTCTCCTCTCACAATGTGAATGGAGTCAAAATCCCAATTCAACCTTGATGAAATTGTAGATACTATGTTCATCAACGGCTTAGACTTCCATACCATATGCCAAGGTCTTTGCACAACTGACTCCGTCTCTCCTTCACACCCCGTATACCAGTAATTATTGGGCTTCATGGTACCAAACTTCCTCATAATCAAAGCATATAGCTTCATGGGAGTGATCCTAAAATCCTCCACAAGATGGAGGCTCAATCCATCTTTCCAGTGCCATTTTCTCCAATTAGACCAAAATTGAGCTTGGTCCAACACAGAAGACTCTTTCAAGTGCTCAAAATCAAAGTAAAACCTGAAATCTTTCCCATCTTCAGCTTGATGTGATATAGTGTAAATTGAAGACAAACAAATACTCATATCCATAACCAGTGTTTGATTCATGTTCTTGCACCTATCACCACCTCCAACTTAAACCAAGTATCAACCCCAGCTAAACGGACCCTCTGATTCAACCACAGGCAGAGAATCATTCATAGTTTCCCCAAATGCAGGCAGAGAAACAGGCTGCAATTCTTGCTTCTCGGGTTTCTTCTCAAACTCTAGTTTCTCCTTCTTCTTCCTCGCATTCCCTCCAGAATGGTAGTCTCCATTTTGAACAACACTAAGAGTGCAAATTCGAACAACACTAGGAGTGCAATTCTTAGACTGAGAAATCAAGAAACTCCGGTAATCTTTATAAATTGCAGCAGTCTTTCCTTCCTTGGGTCTAAACCGCCACGCCATGTGGCAAGAACTTTCATTGTATCCGTGAACAGGTTTACCAAAACGGTAAAAATATATATCCTTTTAAGTGGTCTATTGCAGTCTTCATCATCACATAAAACTCATCCTGGTCAGTACAATCAATGGGTTTATTGAACTAACCCTCACATTCAAGATTAGGGTTTTTAGGCTCCTCCTCGCCATTATCAACATTGGTAATATTTATGAAATTAGCAAATATAGTCTGATTTGAAGCTATAAAGTCCTCTCCGGTTGAAGGATAAAACAATGGATCCTCAGGCTCGTAGGTTGCGGCGGTAATCTTGAAAATCAAAACCCCAACTAGGAAAATTGTGAAACAGAGGTTACCAATAATTTGAAGAGCATTTTGGCCGAGGTTTTCTGGCCGGAAACTTCAGATTCGAAATAGTGGATTCCGATCCAACATTTCCGAACCCTAAAGAGCCTCCCAAAAACCCTTAAGCCCCAACACAATTGTTAAGCAATTCAATTCAAGACTTACGTGTAAGTCCTAATAGGTAGGCTTAGGTCTTATGATAATTAATGATTTTTTTGCCTAATACTATTAAAAAACATCACTAATTAAATTCAACTATTATAATTTATTGATAGTTTAAGCAACCAATCCAAGCACAAATCAAACAATTCTAACAATACACAGAACGAACAGTGAGCTCATGATATATATCGCTCCCTTTCTTTTTGTCTCTCTAAAAGCAAGTAGATAAATCTTCGGAGGGCAACACGGGGAGGACAGATGGGTGGCAGAAATGAAACTAAAAGTAATTAAATCTCAAAAACTGATGGGTTCGATTGGATCTGCAGTGTAAACCACAATCAGAATTTTAAGATTGCCATACTCGAGTTTGTTAAAACTGTTTTCCAGAATATTTTCTAAAAAATCTATTTTTTTAAAACATTTCAAAATTGTTTTCCGTATTCTCAAAAACAATCACATATTGATGAATAATGACAGACCAATGGGCTATCAATAGGGGGGGATAGCCGAATAAGCTTTATCACAAACTTGATTAGTTCTGCTGTTATCCCCTACCAACTAAAATCAGCATAAACTCTAAAATAACCCAAATTTTTACACATTGATCTCCAAAATTCAAGATATACAGTGCCCAATGAGGGCAAGAAAATCACCTCACAAGAGCCACAGACGTACCCTCCTTTAACATCTACTTTAGCATTAGCGATTATGATTGAGCAGACTGGCCAAACACAGTTTAGGTTTAGATTAAAAGCTCCTAGACCAGGCTTCATGTATAGTTGCACTCTATTTAAGTTGAATAGTTTCTTCCTCATGTAGATGGAATATCAGATGGTGTACAAGATTGAGCCCTCTGCTGGATCCGGCTCAAGCTAAGCTCCATACTTCGGTGAACCATGTCTTGCAGTAACCGCTTGGCAGTTTCAGTGGCTTTATCTGATCCATCAACCCGGGTAGCAATGTCGTAAACAATTCTTTCCAAAACAGAGGAAGTCAATCTGTTTTCTGGATGCGAGTCCCTAAGCAAGTCCAAAAGCATCCGAGCTCTCTCCTGAGATTCAGGTGTACCCTCCACGGTTAATCGTAAAAGACCTGGTATCGCACCTTCTTTAAGAATGAGTTCCCGATATTTGCTTCGACAGCTTTGGCATAGAGTGAGTAAAGCTCCGACTGCATGTTCCATGCTCACAAGAGATCCATCTTCAACCGTCTCTACTAGAGTTAAAATCCCACCTTCTGAACTTGATATTGCTAACCGACCCTCTTCAGTTTTTGAAAGTATTTCGAGTAGGGCTGTGGTTTTCTCAGCAAACTTGGAATATTTCTTGCATTCTTTAAGGAGGTTGATGAGAGGAGAGACTGCACTAGCATCGAGGATCAGAGTGGGGTTTTCTGAACCTGTGGAGAGGTTGTGGAGGACTGTGACAGCATCGACTTTTCCTTGAATGGTTCCTGAACTGAGGATCTGAACAAGAAGCGGTGCGGCTCCGGAAGCTGCTATTGTTGGCTTATTAGGTTCGGCAGCTGAGAGTGTTAAAATTGCGGCAGTTGCTAGTTCTCTTAAACTGCTATTCTGGAACTTGAGGAGCTCAACAAGAGGGGGGATGGCACCGGATGTTACTATCCTGATTTTGTTTCTGATAGATAACACATGAATAAAAAGGACTGAATTAGATCCATCAGCTATAGATAGAAAAGTAGCTCAACAAAAAAGGCAAAAAATGATGTGGGCAACAACACTAAAACATCAAGCAGACTGCAAGCAATATCCAATTAGAACACAGGGGTAATGATAGTGTACCCTCAGTTGAACTAATTCCTAGCTCTGATGATGCAAAAGAGGACAAGAAATGGAAGTTAAGTTGAACCAATGCCTACCTCTTAAATTGATAAGCTCACATAGAAATACAACATTAAAATAAATTAACATTAATAAAAAGAAAACAGAGTCCCAACATCATTTGGTTAAGAGAAACGAATACCAAAGAACAGTTTTTGACTCGCTAATAGTGGTTGTTGGAGATAGCTGCCACAAGTCACATTAACAGATAGTTGACAAGCAAAGAAACTGGAGCTGATGGAGATGATCATAATTACTTGTCACCAGGGAACATGGTGGACATGACATTTAAATGGAGTCGAGAAAAGCCTTCCATGTATCTTCCACCACAAGTATATTACAAGACATTCAAGGACAGGGATGGAGAGAGGGAAGGAGGGTTTATTTATCTCCATTTTATCTTCCCTTCAACAGTACCATCACAAGAGGGATCAGATTCACAAAACAATTTCACAAGAACAAGAATAAAATCATCCTTTCTTTAAAATTATTCTAAGCTTAACAAGAACAACTATTACCTGCATATTGATGGTTCATGCAAATACAGTGTAATATGTTTTTGCCTTCCCTAAATTTGAAAACTATTTCTTAGATTCTTTTTTCTACTCTGTTAAACTTTTTCTGAGTTTTCTCTTTTTTTCCCTTCAGGTTAAAAAAAAGGAAGTATCATGATGTGATAGAGTGACATTTTGAGAAAACCTTCCTAACCAAGATATTAGAGTCATGCCATAATGCCAGACTTCCCAGGTCCTGAACTGGCACATCAGATAAATATGGAAGTTAAATCCATTTCCAAGGGTGAAGCTTCAATGCTGTCCTTTATTTATATTCCCTCTTTCTTTGTCATTGTGCCAATTCTTTTTTTGATGAGTATAAAATTATATTCAAAAGGAGGCAGTAGCCTACATGTACACAAAAAATATCTATAGCATCTATACATCAAAAACCCATTCATAGGCCTCTACAAAATCCAAAACTTGGTTCAAAGATAGATTAACCATCCCCAAAAAACCAACTATACAAAAATTATAATAATTGACTCTTAATTCTCAAAATAGAATCTTTTTTGCCGACAAAAGTACTATTGTTCTTGCCCCAAACTATCCACATTAACACCAATAGGACCAAATACCAAGGCTTCCTCCTCCTCCCCACACGAGCACCCTCCAAGAATAAAGAAGCTACCCCACCTTCCCAGAGAACCCCCAAGGTACACCAAACATAGCAAGGATCAAAGACTACAACTCCCACACTACCTTGCCCTGGATGACAAGATGAGACACAGATTCCTCGTCATGCATACACATGCAACACCAATTAACATGCTTGCCTCCTTTTAATCTAGTTACCATAGTGAGCATCTTTCTATGTGTAGCGTACCAAACAAGAAAGTCAACTTAGACAGGGCTTTTGTACTCCAAACCCCTTTTCAAGAAAAGAAAGACCCCTTAAAACCCACAAGAATGTCAACCAAAAAAAAAAAAAAAAATTCAAAAAAATAAAAGAGATGCGGGCAACATTTGGAAAAGCTTCCTCCAACATTTCATCCCCACACCATCAGCAGCTCCAAAAACTTCACCTGCTCCCCATTCCCTACCCTAAACTGAAAGTGGCCATAAAAGGAATCCCACTCACTTCTAATAGATTTCCACAAATATTTACAATACACCACCCTTCTCCAATACTTCTCCTTTTCACAAGTAAACCTACACAACCACTTGACAACAAAGTTTGATTAATATTTTGAGTAGTTCCACAACTCATTACTTTAGTTCTCTTTCCAAAATTTCCATTCAGGGGAAAATATTCTATTCAGGTATGTACTCTTAATCATACATGTTTTGTTATCCATTGAAAATAAAGGTAAGAAGTGTACCAAGAAACACACACAAGAAGGTGGAGTTATGAAATAGATTACTATTTTTTTTTTTTTTTTAATGATAATAGTGAAAATTAAACAAAATTTTATTTTTATGGCCCAGCTTGGCCGCAAAGAAATACCTCATATTTGAACCAAAGCTTCAAATGATCCATATGCATGGAATTAGCCAATTTATTAGTTCTCCATCATTTAAAAGCACAAAAATACATCCTTTAATAATAACTGAGAAAATGAAGTCATTAGGGAAAACAATTTAAATTTAAAATTGTAAAAAAGATGATCTATACAATCCTAAGAAAATAAATTTAAGAATGAAAAGAGGAATAACATTTAATTAAAAATCAATTTACTTATATTATAGATGATACTAACAAGAAAGGAAACCAAATTACTGAGAAACCAAATTCTAAGATTTAAGCAATCAATTAGTTTCTTTTTCCTCCGTTTTCGCGGCATCCAAACAGAATACATAGAGAGAGAGAGAGAGAAAGACAGACAGACCGTTCATTTCTGACGGCAAGATTGAGGAGGGCGAGGAGAGAAGCTTGGCGAGGTTCGAAGGTGGGAGAGAAGAGCATGGAAACGAGGGGTTGTATGACTCCGGCGGCGGCGAACTTGGAGCGAGTCTTGACGGAGGACTTCCTGACTAACTTCCGGATGTCTCTGGCGGCTTGAATCTTGGAATCGAGATCGCCATTGATGAGCTTCTCGGACACTTCCTCAATTAGGGTTTGCTTCTTCTGATTCCATATTTCCTCCTCTTTCTCCATCACTACCTCCTCCTCCCCCATCTCCCCTCTCTCTCTCTCTCTCTCTCTATGCACAAAAATATCAAAAATATACTATAAACAGACCAACTTCTTTTATGTCCTTTCTCTCTATCTGTGTGCACAAAAAATATCAAAAATATACTATAAACAGGCCAACTTCTTTTAAGTCCTTTGTGGTGGATTTATTGTTTTGGTTCAAACAGTTTAGTTTTTAGGGCTGACCTTTTCTTCGATTCGTGATTGGGTTAGAGGGTATTCTTAGATCTGTAGAGACCTATCATAAATTTCATTTTAATAATACAAACCGTTCAATATATAGAATTGTTCAAATACTATATGTTTGTAAAAACTCATATGGATCGGATATTAATAACATCTCATTAGATCATATTTCTGTCAACAGTTTATTTTTTCACCATCTATTTTTTAATATAAAACTGATTTGATCACATAGTTATCCATATCTAATCAAAATCATTTTTTACAAGCATATAGTAGTCGATGAATTTTACACATTCAATGATTCAGATTATCTAAATGGAATCCGTGATGGCCTCTACGGAACTAACAGTACCCTTCAGTCCGTCGGACTAGTGGGAAGCTAACCCCTAATTTTTATATTAGAATTTCCCTTTTGGATTTTTACAAAAATAAAATAAAATAATAATAATAATAATTTAATTGATTGGATATGAATAATTATATATTCAACCGCGATTGAGAGCCCGAATTGAGCTCCCCCGAATGCCCCGAAATGACGAAACGACGTCGTTTCGTTTTTTTTTTTTTTTTTGCAATCAGAAGTTCAGAAGAAGACGAAAGAAAGAAGGAGAGAAGAAGAAAGAAGAAGAAAGAGAGGAGAGGCAAAGGCAGAGGCAGGGGCGGGGGGGCAGAGGCAGATGCAGGGGCAAAATGCAGGGGGAAGAGGCAGAGGGCGGGCAGAGGCGGCGAAGCAGAGGCGGAGGCGGCGATGGAGGCGGGCCTGCGACGATCGGGCAGAGGCGACGGCCGGCGGAGGGCGACGGCGGAGGCGGGGCTCGACGATCGGGCAGAGGCGACGGCCGGCGGAGGCGGCGAAGCAGAGGCAGGGGGCGGCCGGCTGCGACCGACTGCGAGCCTCCTCTCTCTCTCTCTCTCGGGGCATTCGGGGCACAAATTTTTCAAGGCACAAATCTTTTCTCTTATATATTTTTAAAATCATATAATTATGTGGAAAGTGTTTTAGTGTGTAAGGTGCATATTATATATATTTACGTAAGTTTTCATATATATATACATATAAGTTATCTTACAAAATCGTATAAATTCTCACAAATATATATAAGTTGTGATTTCTCAAATTTTTATAGATTAACTTGCATATATTTGTAAAAACTTATGCGATTTTATAAGATAACTTACATATACTTGTGAGAACTTACTCAAGTCCATATGATATGTACTTGTACAATTAAGAATTGCTCTAATTATATTTATTCTCTCATTTTTATGATTTTAATAACTAAATGGGTAAATTACAAACACACCTCCTAATATTTGATTAAAATACGAATCGTTCTGTGTGGTTTTGAAAATTACATTTCACCCCTAACATTTTTAATGTCATAACAAATCGTCTATTTTATTAATAAATCATCAAGTCAATTAACAATTTTTAATGATATTAGAAATATATTTCAATTAATGGTTTAGGTAATTTTATTATTGTATAGGAGAGCAATTATGAATTTCATTTTTTTAGTTAATTCTGTTAAATAAAAAATTCTAACAATAAGGTATTTATAATTTTTTAAATCACAGAGAACAATCTGTACTTTAAGCAAATCTCATGAGTCTATTTGTAATTTACACTTAAGGTAAATGTAATTTGATTATCTAATTATTAATCTCTCATTATCTTATTTTTTACATTAATATTTTGTTCTATAGACTCTAAAAGGTCTATCTCTCTCTCAAATTCCATCTATTATTTTCTTGACAAGAGTATTCGCTTCTCGTTCACGTTTTATAAACCACAATAATTTATTGAGACATTTTTATTATGTCGAGATAATCTGTTCAGATTTTTCTCTCAAGATAAGATAACTTACTTCAAGATAAGAATTGTATCGTACAATGTCCAATTTCCTCCTGTGAAATAAATAGTTTATCACGTCTCACTTTATTCTTGAACGAAAACATATAAAAAGTACAATTGACTTTAATAATTTAGAATTCTTCTTATGATTTAAAGACATTAACTAAATTACTAAAAAAGCACCACTAAAATAAAGGATAATATCTTCTGGTGGTGTAGTTCATTATTAATTGGGTAAATTACATTGACACTCCTTGAGGTTTGGTTCAATTACTATCTATCTCCTGACGTTTGGGAAATTATATTTCCACCCCTGTAATTAATAGTCTCATTTCACAAACTCCTCTGCTTATATAAAAGGTAACAACTATTAATAAAAAAACAGAGAAAATTATATTAAAAAAAAGTAAAAGAAATGGGAGAAAATAAAGGAAAAGTGAAGCAAAGCAAAAAAAAAGAGAGTGCATGAGTTTAACGTCTTTATTCCGTCTAAATAATTACAATGACAGGGGGTTAGTGTAATTTTCTAAACGTCAGGAAATAATATGTATTAAATCCAAACCTCAGGAGATGTAAGTGTAATTTACCTTTATTAATTTCTTCATAGAAAAAGAACATATCGATTTTTATTTGAAAGACAAAGAAGATAGTTTTTACGAATTAAATAAGGGAAGAGAAGCTTCAAATCTTAATCTATATAAAAGCATCATCATATTTGTTGAATCTTGTGTGAAATAATTGGGACCAGATGGTCCTGGATTTGCAAGTATTTATAATAAATGTGATGACATATGATAGAAAACCGATGACGAGAAAGGTTCGCACGAGGAGAGACAAAGCACCTTTCGAAAATGAAAATTATACGTCACACGTCACAATTGATAAATGTGGAATTGTGACACCAATCAATAGCTGAAATCCACGCACGACTGCGAATAACTTCTCCCTTCAAGAAGAATCTATAAATTTCCATTCCATGGCCCCACTTGTCAATTAACAATTATGTCAATCAATTGGTTCGATTGTAGCTTGTAATGATTTTATAAGCGCTTAATTTTGGATGAATGATTAGGTTTATTGATTGAGCTGAATTATTGTCTCAAAAAAAAAAAATTATTTTTATTTATTTTTTGTAGTGTACTGAGTGAAAGAGAGATTTGTAATTCCAAAAGAAATGAGTTATTTGGTTCAAATAAAAAATTTCAGACCCGACCCACAAAATCAGGCCACCAAGAACATACTTCCAAACTATGCAAAATGAGTTATTTGATTTTTGTCATCCAAACTGAACTTAAGGGTGATTAATCAATAGTATCGATGTACTAACAAAGTCGTGGCTCAAACTAAAATTACTTTCTCAAACCAAACAATAAATTGAATCCCACACTCCCCGTGATATTTCCTTATTACTTGCTCAAGTTTGTTACTGAATTGGAATAGAAAATGTTATTCCAAACACTTTGAGAAACATTTACAGTAATTTATTACTAGTAATAACAGAATTTCTGATATTGATAATGAGATTTTCGTTTATTCTCTATAATTCCTAAATCCAAACATAACCTTAACTCATATGCTGCAGCTCAAACAACTAAAAAGACGATGTTAATAGGAAAGAAATTATGATCTCCAGGTTTACCATACAAGCATAATAACAAGGTCCAAATTTTGCAAGTCAAATAAAAACCCTCAATTCCCAAATATGCATTCGCATTCCCAAATAATCCCATAAATTATTAGGTACCAGTGTGAACCAGAACAATTAATCGGTGCTTTTGCTTATACCAAAACCAATTACAACAGTTTTAAGTACATCCTCTCTTGCTGCTATCACAAATCACTTTACAGGTAAGACAGCGAAAGACTAAACAAAACAGGAATGGGAAAATCCCCTAAAAACCTAATCTTACCTTCCAATAGTCCTATAAAAATCTCAAATAAAGAGGGAAAAAGAAAAAGAAAAGCAGGAAAAGAAAAATAAAGAGGAAAGTTTCTCAATGCTCGCAATTAACTCTAATAAAGTTGGGAATTATGAAAAAGGCTTACCAAAATGAAGGGAAAAATTGTAACACCACATACCAGCAGCAAGAAAGGGAATTATCTGGACACGCCGACCTCAACTAACTTAAAATGGTTGACCTTTTTATGTTCCACCCAAGCAATCAGAAGATATATTATTGACCAATTTTTCCCAGCATTCTTCTATAGATTTACACACTCAATTCTGGCCGATCTTGTACCTAGTCAACGTTTTTTCCTCCATTTCTCAAACTTGTTGGAATCCCCAAAATAATGTCAATACTGGGCCTTTTTGCAATTCTTGCTTTGCTGGTTTACAAAAAAGAAAAATAGCTCCTCCTTCAATAGTTATTTGGCCAGTTAATTTGTGCATGCTGAGGCTGCTGATATACACTAGCTGTGGGTCCTACAATATCAGCAGCTGCAGCCATGGTCTGCTGAGACTGCTGTAGAAGAGGGTGAACCGATGTTGCTGAAACTGCTTGAGCGGGGTGATATATACCGGCAAAGGTGCCATGCCCAGCCTGCGTTGGGGCGAAAGCCACTTGACCCTGAGGAGGAATGTTGTAGAATGAACTAGCCTGTAAGCCTGAAATTTCTCGGCCTGGTGCAGTTATCCATACTGTTGAACCCTCACTCTGCCATAAAATAAATAATTTAAAAAAAAACATTTACTTGTATCCTCTTTTTAGTTCTCAAATTTGAAGGGGGGAAATTAAAATATAGTTACATATGTACATAAAAAGAACGAAAAGAAAAAAAGAAAGAATAGCAAAATCTGACCCATGGTTTCCAGTTCCTACACTCCATGTATGACTGACCAAACAATAAAATATGTAATGTTGGATTTGTGCAAGAAAAAAGCATCCAACTCTTTGCCACGCAAAACCGAAATCAAATCAACTAGACAACAAAATAAAATGTACAATAGAGATCAAAACAATAAAATATACAATATAACAGGAACAACATCTAATATTACACTGCCAAACAGATATATGGAGCCTTTGACTGTTAATCTATGGCTTTATTTTATCATCCATCAAAGTGAAACTCAAAACACTAGTCAGTCAAAATTCTGAAAAACCCTTAAACAACCCTAATTTTCAATATCAAAACAAACTAAGGCAAACTTCATTTACACCCTTGTGGTTTACTCCATAAGCAGTTTAACTCATTTAGAAATAAGCCCATAACCCCTTGTGGTATGTGGACTGAAGTGCACCAACAAACAATTAGTCCAAGTTAAAAAGGTGCCAAGACATATGGGGGTTGTACACATGAAGTAAAAGCATAAAGGGTTAAACTAACCAGTGACGATCTAGAGCTCTAATAGTAGAGCTCTAAACAGAGCTCTACTGACCTGGCAGGTTCCCAAAAAACAAAAAAAAAATCAAGCCAAAACATCGCATCAAGATGGACCCCACACAGCCGCCACATCATTAGAGCATCTGAAACATTTTTCTAAACTAAATTTTGCCTCCTATAAAAATGACAAAAATGTCTTTGTTCACAATGGATTACTTATGTACATGGGTATTTTAGTCTTTTCAATTAAGCTATTAACGGGACTAACGGTACACTTCAGTCCACAAACCACATAGGAGTTGTGTACTTATTTCCAGCACATGAACTAAACAAGAAGGCGGTAAAGTGAAATTTGCCCAACAAAATAATAAGCTTAATCATATAGTGCACTTAAAAACCAACCTGCTGTCCTGTCATGTATACATTGTTTTCCTTGAACTGGGGTGGGGAGAGATCCTCATTGGCAGTTGAGTTTCCAGCTGTTGAGGCGGAACTGGGATTATAACCAGCTGGGGAGGAGCCATATGGTCCATAGCTGCTCGCCACTCCAACATGAGTAGAGTTTCCTGTATTCGTTCCTGCCTTGTATTGTGAAATTGAATATTTAGCATTTGCCCCTGGTGGAGCTGGATATACGCTGCCAGCCTGGGGTTGTTGGGGGAATGCACCATTGCTTAAAAATTGATGAAGGGCTGGAGGGGGAACGTAAAAAGGCGAGAAATAGGGACCATAAGGAATGTAGTTTGGAGGATAATGGGGTAGAGGCATCCCGGTTGGTTGCCGAAAGACGGGGAGAGGTTGCTGAGCTACAGCTATTGAGCTCTGCATGACCCCAGCAGCCTGAGCACCAAGAGGAGTTGGACCTGCTGTGGACAAAACCAAGGAGTTGCCACCCTGCAATGAGACATATGTAAGCATGAGATGTGTGCGCAAGGACATCCAATATAATTAGATCAAGTCACTTTCTTCTCGTTGCTGTATTTTAAGAAGAAACAATAGCAACCACACCGATAAATTGTCTCCTTAATATGTATATATGAGTTAGCAGTGGTTCAATATTCAATCAATGCATGCAATTGTTAGAGGTTTTGTGTAAAGATACCATATAAGGGAAAGTCATCCAAGTGAGCCATATACTTTCCTATGAAGATTAGCATTTGTAATGGAGCCATTAGCACTTCTACCCAGAGTAGCATTCATACGTGCAAACGAAGTGCTCGGGTTGTTCATTTAGATGTTTCTTGCTTACAGTCACATGTTTCAGTATGTTTGGACAACATACCAACACATGAGATGTGCTAGCAAGTCCAGCAGAATCACTGCTAGAAGGAGGTGGTTTCATGGTGTCAATAGGTAACGGAGTTACCAACCACCCACTGTGTTAGATTCAGTGGCATCTCTAGCACCAAAAGCAGCCCAAAAGGGCTACAATAAAATTCCCATCAACTCCTCTTTTTCTCTTATCTTTTTTGTTTTCCTGCTTTTTGGTGGGTGCAAAAAGCATGTTCTATCAACTAACAAGATAGCAATGGAAAATTATCTGAGAGGAAACAAAATTCATTCTCCAATCAGAGGACACACTTGAGAAAACCAAAAGGTGTGTATGGCAGGCAGAGATAGATAACCACTTTGGGCCAATATACACCTAAGCAAGTTCTCAGAAAAAGATATCAAAAACATAACATATAATTTCAGAAAGGGTGCCACGTTAGGCAACTTCTTTACCCATCCACATCAAATTCCATAAACACATAAACAGTTGATCATCCAAAAAGTCTGGGAATAGAAACAAGAATGGGTAAACTAAAAACCCAAGTGAGATGGCAACCTCTCCTTAAGTTTAAGAGGCAAGACTCTTCAGGTTTTATACAGTGAATAATACATTGATCAGTTAGACTACATTTTTGCCACTATTTTAGACTTACAAAAATCAGTACCAGATTCCCTTCTATGGAATTGGGAAGTACTTCGACTCCTTAATTACCAACTATTTCTTTGACTGAATAATTTTAATTTTATTTATGCCATCTTGGGCAACAGGTTCAGGAATAATTAGAACGACAATCAAACTGGATATTGGCAGCAGTAGCCACTACACTCAGACCTACAGGACTTAAAAGAGATAGAAAAGGAAGGATTGCAAAATGGCAAGGAGCATACTAGCCAAGTAAATAAGCAATTACTCCCTAAAAGTAGAACCATCATTATTTATCAAAAAGAAAACAAATTGAGGCATCAATCTTTCAACACTAGGTTCCTTCCCGATAAATATCTAGTAGTTCTCATTTATTTTAATGAATTAAGTTCTATCCGAAGTATGCCTCTGCCTTGTACCTCTCTTCAACAAAATCTTAGATCAAAAATAAAAAAAGATCATACCCTGTGGCCAGTGCACAAGGCTCCAGCTTACAAGAGCATCTGGTGGAGATAGTAGATAGTCAGCCTTCCACCCACTATTTTGTGAAGTGGATCCTTTCTTTCTTAGATTATTAATGAAGGAAAACATATATAAGAGGTGTTTTGTGAAGCGAACATATGTATCACATGATGACTATGGACAATAACAGCGTGCGGATTTTCTTTTCCCAAAAAACAAGCTATCCTACATATATGGCAGAAGACATCAGCAGTACAATCACAAGTCCTTAGATTTGGACACTGTAAGCATATTTAACATGGCAATCAGACAAAATCATCATGATATTAACAAATTCAGCTAAGAAACAATTCTTGAGTATCTTTTCCACCACATGTGTTTTTGCTGTGAAAGAATTGTTAAGAATCTCCCAAGCTTTTCATGCAATGTCTAAACAAGTCGTAGGTTCTTGACGTGCAAACATATGTATCACATGATGACTATGGACAATAACAGTGTGCAGATTTTCTTTTCCCAAAAAACAAGCTATCCTACATATATGGCAGAAGACAGAGCAGCACAATCACAAGTCCTTAGATTTGGACACTGTAAGCATATTTAACATGGCAATCAGACAAAATCATCATGATATTAACAAATTCAGCTAAGAAACAATTCTTGAGTATCTTTTCCACCACATGCGTTTTTTTTGTGAAAGAATTGTTAAGAATCTCCCAAGCTTTTCATGCAATGTCTAAAAAAGTCGTAAGTTCTTGACGTGCAAACCTCTTGAGCAGACTGAGAAGTCTGTGGAGATAACACTGCAACATTTCCGTTGTATTTCATTGCAACTCCAGGTGAATGGAAAGGAGAAATGCGACCATCACCATCAGCACCAGACCGATAAAATTGGGCATAATAGCTGGCTGGATCAATTGGTTGCGGAACCTATACATAGAAAGATATTACGGCCAAACACTCTTATAAGTAAACCAAAAAACAAAAATCTAAAAACATAACAATAATAATAATAAAAACAAAAATATAAAAAACACTCGCAAGCCAACTTCAATTTTAAAAGCATCACATTAATTGAAATAGTTACCATTTTACTAATCAACCATGAAAAAGTTACGACATAAAAATGAGATGGATTAAATGTTACATCATGAACACAAACAGCAGAAGGAAAAAGATAATCAATGACTTACGACAAAGCTTGGAAGACGAGGCACATCACGTACTTGAGACTCAGAGCTTTCAAATGGTGCAAATTGGCTTCCGACCATTGGAGGCATGAAACCAAAACTGTAGCTAGGAGAAGTATGAATCATTGAAGACTGATGGGTTCCGGGTGGCAAGGAAGTCTCTTGCTTAGACTCACTATACTCTGGGACCACAGTGGCTGAGACATCACCCTCACCGGACGACAAATTTTCTGGTGCATGTCTGGGTGATTGAGGATTATCAGGATAATCTCCTTCCTCAGTCGTTTCCATTGCATTTTGATTGCTGACACCAAAGATATATGAATAAAAAATGTTTAAGCGCAATACTTTAAGGATATATAATTTAAAGGTTCACAAGATAATGAGATATCAGTGTTCATTTACAGAATGCACTACCACAGGAGGTAAGAAATTCACATCTTTATTGGCTCAACAAGTACACAGCTTCATTTATTCAAGAGCAAGGAATCATTTGTATGGTAAATCCACGTCCTTGCCTAAAAATTCATTTCTTATCTGTCCCCTGTAGTAAACTAAATTCAGACCAATCAACAACCAAGACTACACTTTGAGCAGCCATCCAACGAGAGACTGCTAAAAGATTTTCTACTTCAAAAAGGATGGCAACATCTACTAATTCCCTGCATTTCCTTCTCAACATCTACTAGCCATAAGAGACCAAATTCACAGAAACTGCTAACTCCACTATCTTAAATGCATATCATGTGACTGCCAATCACCAACTCACAGTTCTGATGCTGTATCGTAAGTATCAAGATTTATTAATAAACAAATAATAGTAATTCGTAAGTAATAACAATATCAACAGTGATCATTTTTATTTTAGGGACTTTTCACACACTTGCCCGCCCAGTGAAAATGACAGAGTAGCAAAATCCCTGGTCTTAGGCAGAACTAAAACTTGAACATGGTAAGCCCTAAGTCAAAACTAATTAGAACATACAATTTTTAGAGTTCTTCCTCATGTGTCTCTTCAATCCCGTAAGACAAGTCAAGAGTATCTAATGCATCTTAGCTCCAAAGATTTTTAAATAAATATATTTATAAAAATCATAGTTGTCAAATCGAGATTCGTATCGTGAATCGAAATGACATTGTACCGAATCGCGAATCGAATCGAATCGTGAATCGTAAAGATTCGGTCACTTTTTAAAAATTACTTAAAAATATATATTTACACATTTAGATGTTAAATATATCTTATGAATATGAAATATCTAAGCTTAAATCAATGAAAATGTTATTTTGAGTGATAATCACATAGTTTAATAGGTAAGAAGTTAACAAAATTCTTATGTAAGATCACTATCTTACTTTTTTTCTTTTTAAATATTTATTATCAACCATTCTTAATAAAGATAATAACCAAATAGACAAAGTATCAATTTTCAAAGTAACAATAATTAACAACGATATTGATATTTGGACAATAAGCATACATACTTTTCTAAGTAACAGTGAAATAATAATAAGAAAGAATTATTTAGAATATTTTAATTTAAAGCTTAAAACATTTTCAAAGGTATAGCTGACCTCACATATGTAATATTCAATTATATTCAATTTAATAAAATAGCAATAGATAATTCATAGTGTAACTTTAATCTTAAACATCTTTAAAAGATATATTATGATTTTTTAAGGGGGAAAAAAATGAGAAGATAGGTTAAAAATATGTTGGATCTGAATGAATCGGATTGGATTCTATTAAAAACTTCATGATCACTAAAATAATAGCAAATTATGTATATATGTTGGTTATTTGGTATTAAACGCTATTAGAAGTTGTATTATGTCATTTTCATTAAAAATATGGAGAAAGAAATAGTTGAAAATATGTCGGACACAATTATTTAAAAAATTACGTGAATCGTAAAAAGTGAATTGAATCGTGAATCGATTGTGAATTATGCAACTCACTAGAGATTTACTTCCAAAATAGATTCACCCATACATTCGTATCGATTTTGCAAAAAATTCGAATCGAATCGTGAATCGAATCGCGAATCGTAAGATTCTGATAACAGAGAGATTCACCTATAGATTCGTATCGATTTTGTAAAAATTGTGAATCGAATCGTGAATCAAATCGCGAATCGTAAGATTCTGATAACAGATAAAAATAAAAATAAAAAGCAATCATCATAGCAAAACAAAATTATCCAATATTAAATCAGAAAAGGAAAAAAAATCGCAAACCTTGAGGACTGTTCTTCCGTTTCTTCAACACTCTCAGAAGTTTCAGAAAGTGGCGTAGGGTTCTTGTCATTCTCAGGACCATTGTTATAGCCTGTGTTTAAACCAAAACTAGCATCAAAACTTCCAAAACAAAAACCAATTTTTTCAACTTCAGGGACATGGAGATGATTCGGGATGATAACATGTTGATCATCTGAAATATGTAACTCCTCTAGCTTCCTCTGTAGTTTTGAAGTGGCTTCTTTTGTATCAAGGACATTTGATACAGGATATGACTGGGTATTGGCTTCTGCTGTGGTAGGAACCTCAGATGAAGCAGCTGCCCCAGATCCTTGAGCAAGATTTGCATTTGTTGGCTTTGGTTTCCACTCCTTACTTGGACCCACTGTTAACAAACAGAAGAACTGTGAGTCGATTGTGGACCTTGACTATGAAATTCAAAATATAATAGAGCAGTGAACGATATACTTATTGATTTTATAAAATGTTCTTAGATAATAACCATAAGCTACTTGCTTTAAACTGTATTTAATTCTATTTTCCTATCAATTATATTGTTCCCATTTCATATTTTAATTATCAAGAAGCCTTAGGGTGAATGTGGAAATGGATCTCATTGTTCTTGGGTTGCCAAATATAAACAGAAGGGATGCATCTGACTTTAGTGTAAAACCCAAAACCAGCTAATATCTACCATGCAGGGGGGATAAAACCTATAGTTGAACTACCTAAAGTTTCAACATGCATGTGCTCATGGTAAATTCAAAGCTTCAGCTACAAATGCAACTCATTAGAAGCTTTAAAAGGGTCAGCAAAATCTTCGCTTTGTAGAAATTTTACGATAATAAGACACAAGAAGAGCAGTATACTAACAATTTGTGGAGAAAAAAAAAGTTATATTCATCTCACTGATACAATGTGCCACTGAATTTTATGACTTGGATTATGCATATATTACCACAAAGCTCTCCAACTAATACAAGTGATATAGGATGAGTGGAGGGAGCACTCTTCCACAAGTAATGACCCAAACTCAACATATGGCAGCAGCAAAAGTATGCTTCAAGACGGATTTAATTTGTTTTCAAAGACTGATGGGTGGTAAAATATGGGATATTTTAGGGTTTCAAAAATGCAAGAAAATGGTGAAGTTTTGAGAATGAAATATTTTGGGGCTTGTCCTTGGGCTGTTCCAGCACTGTGAACGGTACCCCACAAACAGTAACAATTATAGTTTTCTGGTTTGTACTATTAGATTGAATCTTCACAGAATGATAGGATCGAGCTTGTGACATGGGATGTGTAAGGGTTAAAAGTGGTTTAAACAGAACTGGTTATAAATTTTAAAAGCTTCAAGTCACAGAGAATTAAGAAGAAGAAGATTCTAGGAACCAACCCAATTTCCAAATATTTCAGCTTCCTTAAATTTACTTTTCCTTGAGTTTCTTATAACCCACATAATTTGGGCAAGAGTGGTGTCACCTCCAAACATCATGAAGAAATACCCAATATAGTAGTTGTGGCAGTAGAGGCAGTAACATAAAATTGTATCTAATATATAAGAGATAGACACCTTTTTGGCCAATTACTTGTTGCGAGCGACTATTATGATTTGTCAAAGGCCTAATAACAGAAGAGCCACCATGGATAGAAGACACAGGTTCTGAAGAATCTGAAACTTGATTCTTTCCAACCCCCATGGATTTGCTTGGCATCTTTACTTGCATGATGGAGCTCCCAACCTCAGAAACTGCAATTTCAGTCATTAACAAGAACAAAAATCATAAGCTGCTATTTAAGTACGACAAAAACATATTAAACTTTGTTATATCACATGATAACAATAAGTCTATCCAAAACAGATTTGCAATGTCCTGACCAGCAGTTGATTTACCCTCCAAAGTGACAAGTGAATTCTGTTCAACAGGAGTTCGCTGGCTTCCCACCTCACGTTTAATTGCACCGACAGCTCCAGGAAGCCGCAAATCGTGAGATGGCACCAGAACAGGATCTGAAGCCGAGAAATAGACTCCAGGCAAAGGTGCCTGAGTTCCAGCAGTTGAGCTGTTGCTCGAGCTGGATGTGAACTGCCCATGTATGTCTCCTGTTCCAAAGTCAATGCTGGGGTTTTCCTTCGCATTAACAGGGTGCAGAAGTGGTGGCAGACCCTGTAAATTACTAATGTCAACTGCAGAACCTTCTTCTGATTGGTTTGCCAAACTTCCCACAGACAAATGAGCAGCATGTACAACAGCAGTACTCCCAGGCACCATGGCAGTAGGACCATTGGTTAAGACAGTCTGAGAGCTGCAAAATATTATAACATTTAGCTTGTAAGATCTGTAACCAACACAATCTATACTACTTTGATGCAGATACAAATAAACTTAACAATTTTAAAGGTTAAGTAGAACATAGTATGAACTTTGATCATAATATAAATATTGATCAAACATTGCAGAGGAAAACCTTGTGACAGGAGTGACTTCTTTATTTTTCATATCCTGGGAGGAAGGCAGAGACGCACACATCTCTGAAACTTGATTGATTACATTTTCCTTTCCAGGGGCAGAATTTCTGCCACCACTAGCATCTGACAAGAGAGATATATGAGAAGAAGAAAAAAACAGCTGATATATGTTTGATACAAATAACTGACAAACTAAATGGTAATGTTGAAAGATAAATGATCATTGCAAAATTTACCCACGAAAAAATGTGAAAGATACATTTATAGAAAACTTAGTTGAATTTATAAAACAAACAAGTCTAAGGTGTCCCTCAAAAGTTTGGAGATATGGTTTACGTTGGCTTAAAACAAACTATTCTAAGGTGCCCCTCAAAAGTAGAATTTATAACCATGGAGGATTTATCATGCTTTCAATTTAATGGGGTTAAGTGAAAACTGCCCATACTTCAGGGGGGCTTGGTGTAACTTTCTGTTACATAAAATCAGGTTCAACAATCAAGGACAAGACAATGCAACATGATCCATTTATGTTAAAAAGGTTAGGAAATTATGGCATCGGTATTTCTCAACAGGATTACCATTCGATGTGTGACGAGGTGGATAGTTCCCCCGCCCACCCCTACTCCCTCGCCCCTGCATGCCAGGTCTCCACCTCGATTCTGCAGAATCCTTGTTGCTCAAATTCTGCAATAATATAAACAGAGAGATCAAAATATTTATAAGGCACCAAACATGGATCAAAAAAATGTAAAGAATATAAATACTTGGCATAGTCACCATGTACATGAGAATATAAAGGTCTTTTTTGAATTAGAACTTGATAGTGGTAATATATCTCTCGTGTGTGTGCACTTGCTGTAAATCCTATTACTAGTTATAGTTATCTAGTGCCACTGTTGAGCTTTGTTGCATTTAATTTAGCATCGTAATGGTCTTAAACCAATACTTCAGCTGGATTGGCAAGTCCAGCACCAATACCAAGTGACATAAATGTATTCCACATTTCACAACAGTCAGATAAAAACAAACACAACTTAACACACAAAAGTGGACAGCATGAACAGCCCACACAACTCAGCATTGTAGTTAAAGTCATTCAACAAAAATCGGCACTCATTGCTCAGTCCAAAAATTGGTACTCATTTCTCTATTTGCAAATTATACATACTGATGGAATATATATATATATATATATATTGGAAACTCATAAAACAATCTTACCTCTTTTCTCCGGTCACGTTTCTTTTTGACCTCATGAAATGTATCTGTAAAACCATAATATACCCTTGTTATATTGCTTTAATGGGAGGATCAAGCCAAAAACAGAAAGCAAAAAAAAAAGAAAAAAAGAGGAGTAACAATTACATCGTATAATCCTAGGTTCAATAAGAATTCATTCCATTAAAGATAACTAGATATAAAGCACGTTTACATAAAAATTTAACAATTGTGCCATAGCAGACTTACAAGTTACAAGTTTAAACAATGCACAAAAAGGTCTTGAAAGATGTATTTATCAAACAAACAAACAAAAAAAGGGCCTTGTAGGGTGCATTCATCAAACCGAAAACAATAGTCTTGTAGGGTGAGCATCCTACGTAATAAATTAATAATACTTCAATGAACCCACAATAAGCATTATTGTCAATTGTTTATCAACTAGTGTAATTGACCCAATCACTAAAATCATTTAAACCAGGCACAAAACAAGAAGAGTTGAATTAGAGACACTGGAACAATCCCTTGCATAATGCCTTCTCTCAGCAAAGATAAAAATAACAATTGCAGCTTTTGTCTGATGCCCATCCTAATACTGAGTTTGAACAAAGAATACAAGGACTAATAAGTGCTTGACTTTGAATTGAAACTAAAGCCCTCAAAATCACAGTAAAATGAACTTCTTCGATTAGCTATTGTAAAAGAAAGCACATGGCTTTAAATCATGGACCACCAAAATCCTAAAGCACGAAACCTTGTCAAGCCTGCACATAAAGACAATCAAGAGGTGACATAGTTGTTCACTGCTTTACTGGTTAGTCAAAATGAAATGCTTGTGATAATTATTTAGTGATATGCGAAGAGGACTATTATGGAAATAAAAGAATACCACTTTTAACACTGCTTAATCAGCAATTCAAAGAGATCTACATCAGACGATACATGTTAATAAAGGGTCACTTGCAGCGGTTATGGAAGGTTTCAGCTCTTATGTACTCGTGCTTGCCAGTTTATTCATGAGAGTAAAAGTACACTAACCCCCAAAAGACACAACACAATAATCATGACAACAAAATGATGGTGAATCTAAATCATGTATCCAATATATTCAACTTAAAACACACTTATGGTCCTGAAAACAAAAATGAACAAAAGGTACATCATCAGTGAAAACCCATTAAAACCAATCAAAAACCCAACTAAAAAAAACCCAATCAAATCAAATCAAATCAAATCCAACCCCCCCCCCCCCCCCCCAAAAAAAAAAAAAAATACAAAGTTAAATCCACCAGACGCAGATCACGCACCACTATAACGAGAAATCAAGATCAAACCCACAAAACAAACACAGAGATAGAGCTAAACGAGACAGATACGAATAAAGAAACAATCAAAGGGAGCGAACCCTGATGGAGGAGCTTCTGGGCGGTCTCGTTGGGATCCATAGAACATTCCTTGAGCATTGCATATATCTCATCTTCACTGTGATTGCCCATGATCTCCTTTATGTTCTGGATCGTCTTGCGAACACTGTTTGGGATTGAAACCCTAGCCCCACTGCTCATGTTTACCTGGCTCGATTATAGCTGTATGTATGTATAATTTGATGAGAGAGAGAGGGGGGGTATCAATTTAGAGAGAGAAAGAGGAGAGAGATTGAGATGGGATGATGGAGTGTGAATGTTTTATATGAATGAGATGATGATGAATTAGGGAAGAGGAGACTTGGGAAGGGTTTTGAATTTGATCTATTATTGTCAATATGAAGAGGAAAAGAAAGAGCATACCAAGTAAATGAAGTGTGTCTTTTGAGAGTGGGGCTTTTTGGTTTTTCCTTTTTCTTTTTCCTTATTTTTTCTTTTCTAATGTTTGCTCACCTTTTCTTCCATTCTTTTTGTCACACTTTATTTTATTTTTTAAATTTGGTATCTTTACAGAATTTTTACATATAACTTATGACATTTGTAAAATTATGATAATAGTTATTAGTGTTGTTGTAAATGAAAGAATCATGTTTATGTATGAAAATTATATATATTATTTATATAGAGTTTGTTTAGTATAATTTATCGTAATTTATTTTTTTATTTTTTTATCATATTACTTATTTATTAGAGTTTGTTTAGTATAATTTATCGTAGTTTATTTTTTTTTTTTTTTTTCATATTACTTATTTATTTTTCTGTATATTTTTTTATAAAAAAATATATGTTTATCATGAAATTGATATACTCTAATCAACCACTTTTTTCTTCTTTTTTTTTTTAAAAAAAATCGTCTCAAATAACCTATATTATTACTTCTTCTTTTTTTATTATTATAACCACTTTTTTCTTGGTATACGTGGGAATCACAAAATAGACATTTTGCATGAAAATCAGGTACATTGTTTTTTTTCCCTTTCTTTCTTGGTATATATGTATACATAATATAGGCATGTTTAAAAAATCAGTGCAATCAGTAAACCAATCCAATCTGGTTCAAATCATAAGTTTTGAACACAAATCTTCATTACAAAATTAATAAGCTCTAACCAATTTAACCAAATTAGTTATTATTAATTTGTTTACCAACCTAAAATATATATTATATTTATTGTTAAATAAAATTTATAAAATCATAAAACCGAACCTAACTAAACTAGCTTTTGTGGTCCGATTCTTGTTCGATTACATAAGTTTGCCAGTTTAATTACGGTTTCAATTTTTTAAGAATCGTAATAACTTATTTGATTCCTAATTTACTCTAAAACCGGACAAATTTGACCCATGTACACCCTTAATATAATGTACCTTAATTTAGAACAATCATATTACATTTATAACATTTTTATGTCATATAGTACTTGTTATCTTATTTGTCTACATAACATTAGTGTAATGATTATCAACAATTACCTCATTACGAGCTATTTTGAAAATATAGTTAAAAACAATCTTTCAACTTTTAACCCGTTTTAGGTCATATTATTTCTCACATTTTTTATACGTTTTTTGAAAAAATTATTTTTAAAAAGAATTGTTAAAAAATCAACTTTTAACAATATTCTCAAAATAGGTCTATGTTTGTATATTTATAGATGTAAATAGTTTGGCCAGTCAGGATTGACGAAAATTTTAATACCAAACCAAAACTTTTTAATTTTATTGATTGAGGAATTCGAACAAATCGTGTATTATAATTTAACTTTATCGGTTTTGTCGTTTTTGTGTGAATAAGTAATTGAAATTGGAAAATGCTAAAGGTCTCAAATTTTACCAAATAAATGACCAAAATTGTAGACCCCACACCCATGTGAGACATTTAGTCATTTGTTTGGTAAAAAATTTGGTGTTCCTAGCATTACCCATTGAAATTTCACCCATAAATCTCATATAGGGGAATATTAATTCATCTGTCCTAACAGTTTTTTTTATGAATTAATTAGTCATTTTTATTTTAAAAAGTTTGATTTGGTACCATTTGAGTTTAAGTGAATACCTTTTCATGATTCATTTTTCTAATTTTCTAATTCATTTGATGTGAATGGAAATGTAAAGTGTAGGAGATTATTTTTTGAGAAATTGGTAGATGAAGTGTTGATTGTCAAACGTAAAAATTCATATTTCTGTTAATGTGATTTTCTGGTGTTATGTTCAAGTGTTACGTTTAGAAAAAATATACTAAAGAGTTTTTGTGTTACAATGATTTGAGTGTTGCGTTTGAGAAAAATATATTAATGAATTTTTTTAAAATATTATACTGTTACGTTTAAGAAAAAATACACTAAAATTTTTTTTGAGTGCGTTATATTAGAGTGTTACATTTAGAATGTTACATTATTACGTTCAAGAAAAGTGTACTAAAGAGTTTTTTAGTGTATTACATTTGAGTGTTACGTTTAGGAAAAATACACAAAAGGGTTTTTATATGTTATATTTATTAGAATGTTACGTTTAGAAAAAGTACACTAAGAAGTTTTTTAGAGTGATACGTTTGAAAAAAGGAGTTTTCTTAAGTGTGCAAGTGCACACCATGTGCCACTTACACAAAAAGTGTAAGTGTAAGGTGTAAGTATAAGTATAAGGTGTAAGTGTAAGGTGTAAGTGTAAGGTGTAAGGTGCAAGTGGGTTGCACATGGTGTGCAACCTCAAAAAAGGTGTAAGTGTAAGGTTTAATTTTTTACAAAAGGTGTAAGTGTAAGGTGTAAGTGTAAGGTATAAGGTGTAAGGTGTAAGTTGCACACCATAACCAAACCCTTGAAAAAAATACGCTAAAAAGTTTTTTTTGAAGTGTTATGCGTTTAGTAATTTTAACATTGTGAAAAAATGCTCATTTGTTACTCGATACATAACACAGGTGTTATTTTATGTAATTCGCACTATAATGAGACCTTTGGGTTTATAATAAAAAAGAAAAAAGAAAAAAAAGGGACCATATAGTTCATAAATCACTATTTTGAATTTATTGGTTATTCACCCATAAGTAATTTGCATGGTATTTTTAATGTTTTATAAAAGCTTGTAGAATTTTACATGGGTGAATTATACTAACAGTCCCTATAGTTTGAAACTTGTGTCATTTTGGCCCCTGACCTTTCAATTGTGATACATTTCACCCTAAATTTTGAATCTTATTCCAAATAAGATAATTAAAAACTTGTTACTTCATTTGAAGAGCAAAGTCGTCATACAACTTATCTTGTGTTGGTTAATGTATATGTTGTTTGAAATATAATGTTTCTTTTTTTTAATGAATAATGTTGGAACTTTTTTTGTTATTAAATTCTGTTTTGTTTGATTTTCAAAATATATTTTAAGAAAAAATTTATAAGAAACTAAAAATTAAATTGGTACAAAAATTTAAAAACACATTATTTTAATATAATTTTATCTTTTGGGAGGGTAGAAATAATTTTTTAAAATATTTTTTTTGTATATTTATTTTCGTTAAAGTAGTTTTTTTTTTTCGAAAGTCAAATATGACAATAACTTTGATATAATTATTAAACCAATCCATTAAATAAAAAAATTCAAAACTAAAAATATTTCATAATTAAACATATCGATTATACATTAAAAACCAAATAATCATCCGTTACATAACCATCAAAAACTATCTGTTAACAACAAATACAACTATTTAGTACACGATAACCATCCAAAAATATCAACGAAAATAACCACCCATTACATAATTACCATTCAAACACATATTAAAAATTAATTGAGAAAATTAGTCTAGAGCCCTTCTCCCACTTTTCGTAATGGAAGAGATCCACAAAATTATTTTTTGATGTCTAAGATCCCTAAACATATATCAAAGAAATTTGACTCTTTTGTCTCTCTCTCTCTCTCTCTCTCTCTCTCTCTCTCTTCTCCTCTCACCCACTAGTCTTCGAGATCTAAGGCATTCGGCGTCTCGTCCGCCTCTGGTTCGCGGTCTCGACAATGAGGCGGAGTTTGTCGAATCGTCTCATTCAGTTCTCACAAGCGTTGAAAGCAAAGGCGGTTACAAAAGCGAAACATTTCTCTCAGGAGTTAAAGGCGGAGCTGAAACGGTTCTCGTGGTTCTGTGAAAGAAGCTTTGAGAGCGTAGCACCACCAGATTTGTTTTTTCTGTCAAGGTTCGGCATCGCCGGAACATGGACAGCGTTGGTGATTGAATGATCAAGTTGGGGACTCTCACCACCAGACCCGATCGCCGTTTCAATTTGGACCCGCCCGAAGTCTCTATTTCATCTCCTATCACTTGTCAGAAAGCCGCTGCCGCTAAACAGTTCATCGAGAATCACTACAAGAACTACCTCCAAGGGTTATAGGATCGTAAATAAAGGTCCAATTCACTTCTCTCTCTCTCTCTATATATATATGTATATGTGTAAGTGTTTGTTGTATTGTTGATGTTTATGGAGATGTGTTTGAACCTTTTCAATCTCAATTTTTATCATTTATGGTTGTAGGAATGAGAGATGATTCAAAGGAATTTGCGTTGGGATTGTTCGATGCGCTGAGCAGACGATGAAGGTTGAATGTTGACAAGATCAGCATAGATGAGCTTTACGAGTATTGGTCTCCAATCACTGATTAGAGCTTCGATTCTCGACTCCAGATCTTCTTCGACATGTATGCATTATTATTTTTTCTTTTCAAAAAAATTAATAGATTTATTCTTTGATTTGAATAAATTTCTCTGGGTTGTAAAGGGAAATTTCTCTAGTTTTGAGAAAATTTCTCTGGTTAAAGTGAGTCCAGAGAAATTCTTTCCTGGTACAGAGAAATTTGTTTATGTTCTTGTTCAGTATGTTTTTTTTATGAATTCTGCATACTCTCAAGTTTATTATCAATTTTTTTGGTATGTTTTCGATATGTTTCATCGCAATGTTGTTTGTTTGGGGTCATATTAGGGTTTTTGAATTTGTAATAGGCTTCATTGCATTTTTTCCCCTCTGTATTTATCTTATTGATGTATACAAAGTTGCCCGTGATGTTAAAGCAGAGAAATTTGCCTCTATCTCTGGCATCCCAGTCACAGAAATTGGAATTTCTCTGGATTGAAGAGGAAGAATTTCTCTGGCCTGGGTTGAAGAGGGAGAATTTCTCTGGTTTTCAGTGAATTTCTTTGAGTTAGAGAGGGAAATTTCTCTGGGTTAAAGTGACTTTCTTTGGAAAGTCCAGAGAAATGTGAGATTTTCTCTGAATAGAATTTATCTGGGAAAAATTTCTCTGGGCTGAAATTTCTCTGGACTGGAATTTCTCTGGGCTGAAATTTCTCTGGACTGAAATTTCTTTGGATCAATGTTAAGGGACCTTAGACATTATGAAAATATTAGATGTCCTTTA